TGTACCTTTACCTTTTTATAAATACCTTTTAAAACATTTTTAATTCTACCTTCTGCATAATCGCATTTTTTTTTTAATTAAACGCTTCGTAACATCAGCTTTAGTATGCTCGTAGAAAAAATATAGTTCCTAACTCTTGCGGGAAGAAATTTCTCTTCCCGCACTCGTTAGGAAAATAGCTATTTTTCAAAAAACTTTTTTTGGGGATCGTTAGGGCATGTTCGATAACCAAAAAATCGATTATGACACATGTCATATTATTTTTCTGATGACCAGAAAATGTGCAAAAAGGGACATGGGTACAGTTATAGCGACACGACCGGACGGTATTTTCTAATTTATGACCATCAAGTGTGTATTTCGCAAAACAATCGATTCGTCTGATATCAAACTTATGTAGTTTAGTTGAATAAAGCTATTTTTGAAATAAAATTAATATTTTCGATTCTCCATTCAATGTTATGGGTAAAATAAGTAGTTTTATTTTTTTTCTCTGATTTGCTTCAAAATCGGCATGTGCAGTTCTTTTTGGATTCTAAACAACTTTTTCTTATAAAATTTTCTGATATCTTGCCAAATTTACCCATTTTTCGACATCAATATCAACTTTTTTCAAAATTCCCGCTAAACCGATAATCGCATGACATGTGTCATAATCGATTTTTTGGTTATCGAACATGCCCTAACGATCCCCACAAAAAAATTTTTGAAAAAAGGAATAATTAAGAATTTTCCCATATGTACCCAACTTTGTGGCGCACACTGTATATATATAAAAATCAAAGTTCGCGGGGTATCCGGATATGCGCTCCAAAACCACTTATCCGATTACGATGAAACTTTGGTAGCTTGTTATGGCCATCCCAAGGAAGGTTTGTGGATAGGTTACGCATCTCGGAAAAAGAAATTAATTTTGAATTAATTATTAATTTAATTGTAAACAAACTCATTCACATTACATAACAACATAACCCAACTTTTTTTGACAGCATGAAACAACGTTGCCGTATTTCATTTATTTAGGCTTGCATTCAACCGACGTAACTTTATTATTTTTTGAATTCAAGAACGGCTGGACCGATCTTGAATTAATACCACGTATGTCTATATAAGGTGAATTCGATTGACCCAGATTAGATCGATTTGGGTTCAATTTAAGTGAACTTCTTCTGATCTAGATCATTTTTTTGTTGATGAGGGTGCACTGATCCAGCTTGAATCGAACACAGTGTGGTTCACTTAAATTGAACCAGATCGATCTAATCCGGTCAATCGAATCGGCTATAGAGGAGAGTGAATAGCGTGATATAGGCTATTTTTTATCCCGAAAAAAAAAGTTCGGTTGCGTAAAACTCTGATACACTGGAACGCCTATAAACAGCCCGGGGCGTTCTAGAGCAGCTCTGGAGTGCTTAAAATGCGTCACTGAACTCACTGGCAAGCGACTATGATATCGAATTAGAAAAAAAAAATTAAATAGAAAATCGACAACAAAATTTGAAAAGAAATGTATTATTTCAAAATGTATTTACATGCTGGCAACGCAGCGGATCATTAGCTAGTAAGTAATATAATTAACACTAAATATATTTTATATTGGTCCCTGTGTAATATGGACTCTGTAAAAAGTGCAGCCCTAATTTTACCCAAAGAGACCTCCCTGATTCTACCTCATTATCTTTCTAGTTGGTTTTTTGTATGTGTTTTTTTTTTTGGCGAATATCTATTTTTTTAATAAGTATAACAATAAATAATACCAAGTGTATTTTATAAGGGTCCACTGTGATTTTAAGGTTGTCTCTGATTATACCTCAATATGGTTTCAGTTGTTTTTTTTTAATATGAAAGTTTATTTTATATGTCATGTCATTGTTCTTTAAAAGACAATAAGTTATTAAACAAATTATTGTTTTTTTCTATTGCAAACTGTACCTCATACTTGTACATAGGTATAATATTGACAGTATAATAGTAATTCTTCTCTCTTTCTCAGCCACTTCTCGTCCACTCCTGAACATAGGTTTTTCCTAATTCTTTCCACTGATCCCTGGTTTGGGCCTTTTGTTAGCAATTTCCTCCTGCTATTTTCCTTATTTCATCCGCCCACCGTAGTGGGAGTCTGCCTTTACTGCGTTTTGTCCCTCGGTTTCCATTTAACGATCCTTGATGACCGTTTCTCATCCTTTAGCCTTGCTACATGGCCCGCCCACTGCTATTTCAGTTCTGCAATCCTCTCAATTATGTCTTTGACCTTGGTTCTTCTCTTAGACCTCTTCTCCGAATCTCATGATTTGGTATTCTATCTCTCAGACTGGATACTGAGCATTGACCTTTTCATTGTCCTCTCCATTATTCGGAATTTGTGGGCACTTGCTTAGGTAATGGCAACTGTTTCCATTCCGTATGTTGCAACAGGTAGAACACAGGCGTTGGGTTATCACCATTTCTTAATATGTATGCAAGTTTACCAAATGCCGCCCGTCTTAGTTACGTCCTCGATTTTTACATGGAGGTATGCATTTTTGTAGATGTTTCCAATTACATATTGTAGTAGCTATATCTGGAATTGATACGTGCATTGTCCATGGATTTTAATATATAGCAGATCTCAATCGAGTCGAATGCCTTATGAAAGTCAATAAAAGCTGTATGAATTGGCACATTATATTCCCCAGATTTTTCAATTAGTGTTCTAACCGCCTGTAAATGTTCAATTGTAGAGTAACCCTTCGGAAAACCAGCCTACAGGTTGGTAGGAGTCGAACTTTGATATTAACCTGTTGGTTTCAACTTTTGTGAAGAGCTTGTAAAGGTGCAACAGTAACTAATAGGCCTATAGTTCTCTATGTTGGTTGGAGTCTCCGTTTTTTATATAACAGTATAACTTCTGCTTCGAGTCAGCATTCCGGTTCTCTGCCCTCGTAAAGGCATTTGTTAAAGAGTCTTATAATAAATACATCCTTCCAATACAGGTCCACCACACTTCAGCATTTCAGTCGATATGCTATCTTCACCAGGACACTTACCGTTTTTCATTTGTTTTAGTGGGTTCTGGGTCTGTGACATCTGGTAAATCTTCGGAGCCGACATTTAATATTTTTTGGGTTCTTTTCATTGGGCTTTTTATTGTTGATGAATAAAGGGTGGTGTAAAATTTTTCGATAGTTTTTGCTATTTCCTTTTTCTTTGTCCTAATTATGTTGTTTCCATTTCTTATTTGTATTAATTGTGTTTTCCCTTTCGATAATTTTGTCTTCAGCACTTTCATACTGCCATTCTGTTCAATCATTTTGGTGTTTTTAGTTCTTATGTCTTTCCGCATGTGCTTCTTGATATTTCCATTTAACTCTTTGTATTGCTCTGTATGTCTTTGCAACTTTCTTCTGTTGTTTATAAGATTTAAAGTGTTGGCTGATAGTAAATTGTTTGCTGGGGTTTTGTTTTTAGAGCACAGCTTTTTTACGCTGGTACGAATACTGATTCTATTTTTTGGGTTATTTGGTCTATGCTTAGTTTGGCATCAGAGGTAACGGGTTGTAGCCTGGTTTCTAATTCTTTTTGGTATTTATCTTTGTTAGTTTCAAGTTCCTGTGCGAAGTTCCTGTGCAGTAGCAAACAAAGGTCTTTCTTTGCACAATTTTATTTCTTTCTTTCTGCAGATCAAAGGTAAAATGAGCTCGAACGAGTCTATGATCGCTACCAGTGTGTATCTTATTTAGTACCGAGACGTCTCTACATACTGTTCTCTTATTCGATAATATAAAATTTATTTCGATCTTTGTAACACCGTCTGGGCTTCTCCAGGTCCATTTTCTTTGTTTTGGTTTTTACGATAGGTGTTGAGGCAGGACAAGTTTTCTTTTGCTAGAAAGTTGAGTAACATTTCGCCTCGGTCATTTATGTTTCCCATGCCAAAGTTGCCTAAGTTTTCTGGGTTCTCTTGTGTTTTTTGAATAGAATGCGGCAGGTTATCTCGAAGTTTCCCTGCTACATATTTGGTAAACCTAAGATTGTCGTACAACAGTGTAGGCAATGTCGGAAGTATCGACTAATTTCCGACTTTGCCTGAAGTGGCCCGGCAATGCGGACTTTGTTTGCCGGTAACATATATATACTTGTGGGCAACTAATTTATTATTTTCAAATATACTAGATATAGCGACCATATATTAAATATTTTAATCTATACTTGTAGTTAGGCATCAACTATAAACGCCCAGGCCGAACTACTTGACCTGCAGTTATGAAAACAGGAGGACGCGTTGAGTTTATGACTTAGGCACTCGCTAAGAAAGGATTTTAGAAAATTTCACCCCCAAGGGGTTTACAATAGGGGTTGAAATATCAAAGAGGATTTCTGTATCTCGGAAACGAGAAGTGACAAAGATCTAAAAATTGGCATATAGATTCTACCAATAAAATAAGTGAATACGTATTTCAGAGTTTTTTAAAATTTTAACTGGAGGCGGAAAAAAAGGGGTAATTTGTTTTTGAATGGGGTGAAGGGATTTTCTTCATCTCGGAAATGAAAAGTCACAGTTATTTAAAAATTGATATGTAGATTCTACTAATAAAATAATAGGACCCGTGTTTCAGCGTTTTTCTATTACCTTCCCTATAACCCCCCCTATGTCCACCATCATCATAAAAAAATGAGCTCCAAAAATATGGGGTATCAAATTGAAGGAAGTAAAGCAAGGAATCTTAAAAAGGGCTTCGTATTTGTATTTCTATTATATCCCTTATCACCCCCCTATGTCCCCCCATCTTCATGAAATTTTTTTTTAGAAAATCAACAATTTCTTTTTTTTTAAAAGTGTATTATTTCAAAATGTATTTTCACGGTAGCAACGCAGCGCCGGGTAATAAACTAGTATCTAATAATTTTTAATTGCATTCTAAATTTAATAATATTGAACGCTGTTCGTTTTTGAACTTGAATTCAACATTTAAATCTCAAAAATCACTGAGTTCACTAACGAAAAAATAATTATTTTTCAGCTGTTGAACTAGATGATCCGGACCCCACAACCCCGTTAAACATGCTACCTCCTGACGTACGCAAAACCTATTCAATGTCCAACTCGCAAAAGTCGGACAGCATTCATTTGGAGCCCAACCCTCGGTTTTACAGCGTGTCAGAAGACCGGACTGCAAACGGATTCATTGGGCGCAATGGAAACGCCCAAACTCAGTGTTAACTGTTAAATATGAACCTTACCTTTATCCATGACCTTCAAATTGAAAAATGTTTTTCTATTTGATCGGTTTTTGAGGAATCCAAGTATTAAAAGGTGCTTCTGTGTAAATTGAGCAAACGCTCTTTATTAGGTTCAATTCTAGCTCACTGAATCAGCCTTATTATGTATAAATTCCATGCTTTTTTTTATAACAATGTCAGTATACATTTATATAGAGGTTGTATCAAATGAAAAGTTTGCACCCAACTTTTTTCAAAATAGAAAAAATTTCTGACGGAAATAGATTTTGTATTCAATGGGACCAATATTGCATAATTATTTCCATATACACAATACACATTGACAATAGTTTTAAAAATTATCTTCAAAGCTCTATGTAATTTACTCTATATCTGATTTTATTGTGAACTTCTCATTTGGATAATTTGTATATTAAATAAGTGGTTATTTGGATATTTTCTTGTTGTAAAACTTGGCATTGGATTTATTACATATATTGGCGCTCATTTTTATTGTAGACTGATCGACACTTCTCTCATTTTTGTTTGCTTATTTATACTACCTTCATTTCATTAGATTTAGATAATTTACTGCCCTTCATTAATTTTAACCCAAAGGTTGATAAATTAAGTTATAATGTCAACTTGGATTTATTATGTTGTTAAAATAAACATGGTGCTAATATAACGAATTTATGCATGGGAATCTCAAAAACTATAGGTAACAAGATACAAATACAAGCACTATATAACGTGTCTGTTTCTGGATAAATTTACTCTTTTGGAAACTTGTATTATATTTCTTCCTTAAAATAATAAGGTTACAATATCATAATATTAGGTTGACTATATAGTTTGTTTTGTTCCTAAAAGCATCAGAATTGTTTGAGATCTGGCTTCATTATCGTAATAACTATAAGTTTTATAATTTTACATTAATCGATTAATAATGTCTGTAAGAAAAATCTTACAGGTATTAGGAAAAGCTTATATTCTGTCCTATATACAGAATAATTATTGAGACCCCAAACACCAGAAATTTCCGATCCCATAAGGCAGAACGATAATTCCCAAAACGTTGCACCGGAAAACGTTAGCAGGGATAGGCAAAAACATGTAATTCCTATGATTAAATAATATGTAAGTAGTTGACTCCTTAAAAGTGTTCAAAATGGCTTTAAGTTTCAATCACCTCCTATTATTTTTAGTAAAATAGTATACTTTTGACTATTTTTATAGATGTTTAACCTGAACTTTGATCAGATGTATTTGTATAGATGTATAGGCAACCTGCACATTTATTTCTATTCATTAAAGTGTTTAGTTATAATTATGTAGAAATCAGTTATGTGAAGTTTAAACTCGAAGTTGCCAGAACTAAGAACGAATTAATAAAGTTATAATCGCTAGCTATTCGATAGAGTCAATAGACAGGAATACGCCCTGATATCGTGCTTAATATACCCAGAAAAATATTTAATATAAACACTTTATAGTGCCGATGGTTAAAACGTCAAATAATATACATCGTAGTATTCTTAAAGTAAAGGCATAATAGTGGAGTAAAATCACAATGAAATTATGACTTTGAGTGATTCCGAGGTATAACCAGATGAAACCTATACAATCTCGTAGAGGACACTTTGGAGCATAGGAAATGGGATTATACAACTTTTTTTAATAGGACCTAACTTTGAATTCGGCCCTTAAACCTGACTGAGCTCGAATTTGAAACACTACATTTTTCTAAACAATACCTGTTGTATTAAATTAAGTATACACTCTAAAATTCTGATTTTTTGCACACTTATATTTGAAATATGAGCGCTTCTAATGACATTACAGAAATTTCGAAAAGGTTCAAGGTTTTTTTTTTTCGAAGTTAGGAATATAGAATTATCAAAATCGTGCATCTAAAACTTCACCCTGCGGCGAGCCATGTGAATTATTGAAAATTTTTATACATATATATCGAATCAAATGTAGCAAGAACATTGACAAAGTTTTTAAAAAAAAAATTAGGTCGCTAACTTTAACGGTGCGCTCTGATGCTGATAGAGGCTAGCGGCTACCATTCTGGGAATCATCTGCGTTAGCGTTACATCTAGAAATAAAATGAAAAAATCTTTAGATATAAAATAAGTAATTGAATCGTTTTTCATGAAATTTACTTTAAATATTTTCTTCTTCGTCGTCCTCATATAAATCAGGAACATTGTTCTGACAACTTTTGCAGGAACAATCGCTGCAGGATTTCAAGCCCTCTTTTAAGCAAACACATTTATTGTTTTGACATAATTTATCTTTGCAGAAGATGTTCATTAGTTGCCTTATATCCGTTGGTATGGGATCAGCAGTCATCAAAACAGGCTCGGGATTTCCATTATTCCTAGTCCAACCAAAGTTAACAGGGTCAAGTATAGGCATAATAGGTATATGACTGGACATCCATATACGCAATTGATATATGCACCTGAAATTTTGGTTATCGCATAAACACAGCTTTTTTTGTTATAAAAGTACACCCACCTCAGTACATGCTGGTAAAATGCGTTATCTGTCGGTGGAGGTTCTGAAGCGGACTTATTGGAATTTGTCGTCAATTGGTACCCCAATTCATTGAGGGTTTGAATGGCCTCGTTCTTATTTCTGAATAAGGCCAATGCAAATTTGGTGGCAATATTAACAGCTTCTGTTGTAGACACGGAGTTTAGTTTTGATAACTCATCAAAGGCTTCAACATTTCTAGAAAATATATTATATGCTGTTTTTTTGCCGATCTTAAACATTGCATTTGTGGTATCGCATCCTGTTAACACATGCAACGCTGGTAAACATTTACATACTCCATTTTCCAGTTTCTGCACTATTTCAGATATTGAAATGATCTGTTTTTTATTTCCTTGTTCTAATTCCATGAAAAGGTAGGTTTCTTCCACAGAATTCACTTTAATAAATTGAGAATAGTAGTGAATAAGCAATACCAGAACATCTGTATCTACAGACTTCACCAAAACTTTTTTTTGGTGAAGTATCTGATATTCATATAAAACATGGATGAGTAAGTCTTGTATCAGCCTCATCATGATTCGATTTCAAATCTGTCAATTCGGTTACACCATCCTTGTTGACAGAAAAGCATAACTCTGGATTTTCAAAAGCACCAGCGATAATCAGAGTTTCTTCTATTTTTAATTGGTCAGCTGAATGTTCCAAAATATACTCAGTCACAAATTTCAATAGGGATTCTTTATTTTCTGACAACTTCAAAAAATTCCGAAACTTCACCACTTTTCTATTTCCAGAAACTTCATACGCATAAGCATCTGCGAAGTTACCTCTTCTGCGTCTTTCCAAAGACTTGACCGATTCATCATAGCTATCAAAAACCTCAGTGCTTCATACCTTCGACCAAGTGAAAGAATTTGCTTCAAAAAAATAGATGCAAGTTCATTAAAAGTTGAGAATGCTTTATCATTAAGTCCTTGAATAAGTACCATGCCATCTATTATAAGTGAATTAACATCAATTTGAGGAGAAGCAACTGTTGAATACTGTTCAAACTTTGATACTAAATCCGACTTAGCTGTTTTTCGCATACTTTCATCTTCGTGAAATAAGCACAACGGAATCGAAGTCAATTCATAAGACAACAAGTCGCTCAAATTTAGAGACTGAAATCTAGCTGCTGCTACTATCCTTCTGAAACTAATTTCCGTTCCTACATATTTTTTAGAAAACATGCGGTTTCTAGTTTTGGTGTCCGCAAACGTAGTAACCTTTCCTTTTTTTACGGGCTCCCAGAAACTTTGGCAACCAGTAATAAGAACGTTTTCGATGAAATGCTCGCATTTGCTTTTAGCAATCTCGAAGAAATTTGAAAGATTTTCCTGAATTTCATCTGAAGCATATATTTTTAAGAAAATGAGGACTATCAGATAAATTAAATGGATTACACCATTCTGTTTCGATATGCGGAATAATTTTGAGAACATCACACTCATTCCGATTTCTTAGAGTAACACCATCACTACGTGTTCTGCTTGCTTTGTCAAAGAATACATCTAAAAAATAAGAACAATAAAGTACCTGACCTATACTTCTACAAGTAAAAATATAGAGCTTTTACCTTCAAAACGTTGCGCATATGATCCTACTATGTGGCGAGTTACCATCCACCAAAAAGGCAGTAGGTTTTTGCGTAAATCCGACTACACCCGAGGAACTTTTGCAATCTCTGTTGATCGATTGTTCCAGAGCCATGTCTGAAGCTACACAATTGAATTTTTTTCTGTTGTCTTCTTCACCACAAAATTTCGTTTCAGGTATCATGCATCTGCGGATTCTTCGACTTGACTTCTAACATATCTCTCAAATATATGGGCACCCATTTTGCATATAGATGTCTTCCTCCGGCTATTAAATATGGTAAAAGTTCTTGGATACAATTCAGATGCAATTCAAAATCTGCGGTCCGTTCAGCTCTGAGAAGATTCAATAATAGATCAACAGCTTTTGAAAAAGAAAGCCAGTAGCCGAATGTGAATGATGATTCTCTTCCAATACTTTCAAATTGTGTTACTTTTTCCTTCAATGGTGCAAGTTTTCTTAACATGTCCTCTAACAAATCCTCATTCAACTGTTTATTTTTTAGTTCTTCTACGAAGTAATAGGTGGAAATTTCCTCATTCTGATTTTCTTCCATCCACTTCCTGAAGGAGTCATAAAACAATCGAGACAATGCATCGGCGCAAAGCGTCAGCGCACGAATACCTCTAGAATATTGCTTACCTTCCAAAATCTGTTTACAGGAGTTTGTAGCATAAACATCTGTATCAGAAAGCATATTATTCAGACCACCATCCCTATAAAGAAAACCTATGCTGGCGATGAAAGTCATAGTAAGGTGCATTCCTCCTAACTGAAGGGTGACTTTGCCATTAATAGCAGGTGGTTCGTTCCATAATATTTCCTGTGCTTTTGAATAAATAGCTAAGTCTGCCATGATGATAATATGTTTTTGATTTAAACATTTCGCTAATTGAACCAAACGGAGCATTGAAGTATAGATCGTGTCAAATTCTGTGGGAGGATTATTTAGGAATGGTAGGTACCTAAGCTATGGTAGATACCTTCACATTGTCATTACAAATAAGGTTGTGGTACTCGCTCCATCCTAGAAAAGGTTTTTTCTTATCTAAATAGCGAAATAATTTCCAGGCAAAATTAGTTCTTTTCACGTGGCTCCGGTTCAACTAACCGGGTTACAAAATGGTTAGAGAAATGACATACCGTTTTCTAACCCGGTTACAAAGTGACGTGATTGACGAATTTGAGCGGTATGTTGCGGTTTGTTAAACCAGAGCCACGTGAAAAGCGTTATTGAGATTTTGTTAATAATCATACTCTCCAGAAAAAAAATTAAGGTTGCTGATCTTTTTATGTTCCGGTCTTTTATTAGGTTTATAATATTTTTCAATATTCTAAAATGACATCTCTACTTTGTCAGCCTTCAATGAATATTCGGTGCATTTTGGAACTTCATCGGTTGGTTTTGAAATATCACGTTTTTCTTGAAAAACCACAAAGCCATAGAATGAGTTGTATTTTTTCCATCTATTGTATCCTCATTCAAATCAAAATTGTCGATGCTTGCATGTATGTTATTCAGTTCATCATCTTTTACCATTTCAAGTTCATATGGTTTGTAACAATCACGGTCAGTATTTAAACCATCTTTTGCTAATGCAGTCGTCATGTTTCTTACGTCGCTGTAGGAACATGAAAATCCCATTGTATATAGAAGATCTATATATAACTTTCCTGCTTCTAACCGTATTATATAAAAATAGACCTAAGCCTATATGCAAATTATTCTTCGAAAATCCTTTACAATAGAAACTCATGATAATATTTGAAAGAGTTAGTACCTCAACGCTCATTTCTGAATCCTCAGAATCATCAACTAACTCATCAGTGCTTAAAAGCCATTTCGAAAACAACAACAAAATATTCGGCACCTGATTTTCAAATTGTGTCTCACATATTCCGTCAAGTGAAGGAAATGCTTTTTTAGGCATTTTATACTCAGACATTGCAGTTTTTAATATTTCGCACGCTCTATGCAGTACCTGTTTGTGTGAAAGAGGCGTACTCTGAAAATATTCCTCTTCTGAACTAGTAGATTTGATTTGGCATCATCAGAGTTAAAATATTCAGACCTATCCATATCAGATGCGCAAATTATATCGCATTTACCAGGTCGAGATATAAATTCTATTTCCCTCGGAAACTTCTCTTGCAACATTTTCTTCAGCCTGTGAGATTGGACTGAAATTTCCTTGACAGTTTCAGCAATATTATTGTATAACTTACAGACTCCAGCCAATGTAAGAGTTTCATGTTTCGCGATGACATGTTCCTTGATGTAATTCTCCGTTTGTATACGTGCTTTCCCCGAACATTTTGCATTGTCTGTATTATTTCGAATTTTGCTCTTTATGTTTCTCTCCGATACGTATTGGCTATAACAAGTTTTATGATATTTACAGTTATAAGCAAAAAGATCCAAATAGTTAGCAAGTAGTGAAATCATTTCAGTATCATTTCGGTTCTTAGCTGCTTCTAAGATATTATTTCTCGTTGAAGCCCCTGTTCCTACAAAATTAAATTATTGGGCTTATAGCAAAAAGAGCATCAAAACATATTTTCTTCCATCTTGGTTAACGTCATGAAATTTTTGATAACTTTTAAAAAATCGCATTTAAATTTCAAATGAATAATTATTTTTGCATTTTTCAAAGTATTTATTAAGTAACCAAAATAGAAAAAAAAGTACAGAGAAAATGGAAAAAAAAGTATAGAGAACATGTTTCATATAGGACAATAAATCCACGACAAAAGCATCGCAAAGTCAACTTAAATTTAGATGAATTTTATAGAGGCACACCAAAATAATCATTCGTACAAAAAATTATATAAACATCACGAACGGCAAAGATTCAGTAGATTCACTGACACACATTGTCAGGGATCAGTAATAAATGATACTCGATTACTAATATTTACCTGTTTGAATAGCGATGAGTCCTTCTTTTTTCTTTTTCCCTGATCTTTTGCAAAATAAACACATTTTACGTATGTCGAAAGATTCCTGATTTTTTTTTAGTATATGACACGCCATTATCGCCACTTGTACTTGCCTCAACATTGAACAATTTTTCTTTTTCCATTATAAAATTAATATTAGAGTTGCTAATGTAAAAACTACGACATGACACGTGAAATTTGAAATTCGTATTTCCCGATAAAATCGAATCCTTGCAGGGTAGAATATGCTTAGGAAAGCCATCCTGTCTTTTTTCCGGCGCTGTCAATATTGTCAACAAACCCTTTTTTGGAGGTTTTCCGACGAAGTCTTTTTCTCGCGAATCACAAGGTTTTCCGCAAATTAAACAATTTGTAACACTTACGTCAGCCATATTCGTCGATAAACAGTCAACACACAAAATATTGAAAGAATTGTCTAATAATCTGCAGTATCTAAAAGAATAAAATTCACTACATTTGATTCGATATAAATGTATAGAAATTTTCAATAATTATTCATATTGCTCGCCGCAGGGTGAACTTTTAGATGCACGATTTTGATAATTCTATATTCCTAACTTGAAAAAAAAACACTTAGACCTTTTCGAAATTTCTGAATTGTCATTAGAAGCGCTCATATTTTAAGTATAAGTGTGCAAAAAATCAGAATTTTAGATTTTATACTTAAATTAATACAGCGGGTAATGTTTAGAAAAATGTAGTTTTTCAAATTCGAGCTCAGTCACGTTTAAGGGCCGATTTCAAAGTTCAGTCCTATTAAAAAAAGTTGTACATTCCCATTTCCTATGCCCCAAAGTGTCCTCTACAAGATGATATAGGTTTCATCTGGTTATACCTCGGAATCACCCAGCCTCAGAAAACAGCGAGTTAGAGCAGTGATTTTATTCCACTATAACAGATAAAACTCTCAAAATGAATTATGATTATTATTTCAAGAAAAAATACCTACATAAAAGTTTGTTTAGGCACGCAAAATCTGCCTCCTTGAGTAGTCACTACTCTCGTTACGCAACGCTATTTAGCTCTAAACTCAGAGGCTCTAAATTATTTATTATTGATATTTGCCTATGTGTGTAAATTTAATTTTTGTGCGAGTTGCCTATTAGTTGGACCATATTATTAATAAATAGCACAATCAGTTGACAAACCGATGTTGATCAATGAGAGATATACAATATTGGTTTGCATTATTTTGGCAGCAAAGATGAAACTCCATTTGTAACGGGAGTTGACAATAATAATTAACATTTTCAATGGCAACTTTTTTGTTTCATATAGCTTTGTTTGATAACTTCTTATTATTATTCCTGAGGAAAATACTTGAAATCTCATTTCCAAAAAAAAATAATAATCTAGCTATTTAATTTTTTTTTAACCAGAAATTCAAATGACATCGTACCTATTATTAAATCAAGTTACTTAGCTCAGGCCAAAGAAGCTTCTCAAGCACAGAAAAGACTTGAGAATACACTTTATATTTTTATTCATTAAGTTAGAACGAATAGAGACAAGGAATATTTTATTTTGTTATGTACAAAACAAAGTGAGAAACAAATAAGGTGAACATCGATAAAGTTTTCCGCTGGGATAATATTCTATTACATACAAAATAATATACATACATATGTAATTTATACTGCTGCAGTTTTAATTGAAAATAATTGATTGGTTTTATAATTTTTGTAAAAATTGCATTTTTGTTTAACTAAATCATCGATCTTAGTTTTAATAATGTATTTATGTAGTTATATTAGGCCCAGTTTTAATATTTAAAACTTTTTTTATTTGTATATATGGAATTTTAGCATATATTTTTATGGATAAATTATTTTATTACATAATTTAGGCTTTTTATTCAGCTGAAATCCATTTTTGAAAAACGCAACTCAAATGTTTATTAAATGCAACTTAATTTATTTGTTCTTTGTTTTCTTTTATTTTCAATACAATAATGTAGAGGTACCTACAAAAAATTATTAGCAAGAATTTTGTCATAGAATTAGCCAGCACCAAAAATATGATTTGTGCTAACAGATTGGCAAATCATCTTGTGTTTCTGGTAAAATCAATTCAGAAGATATCTACGTTATTTATTAGCAAGTTTTTGCAAATCCAAATAAACGAACTAAGTACAATTTCATTTTTATCTCTAACTATAATGACTTACGGTGCCCCTGTAGGTTTGTTTTTTGTTAGCGTTTTATTTATTTATCGTTTGTTTCTTCATACATGAATGAATGAATTAATTAATTGGGGGTTTTGCTACACTGCGACCTGCATAGATCTATTGTGTCCCCCTTCTTGGCGCTCCAGTTGATGGACTCTCGCTTAAAGCACCTCATCCAGCCTTAATGCTTTTATGAAAGCAAGTACTCTGGATGGTTCTATGGATGGAATTTCTTCCCGTCCCACGATGTAGCATCCGAAGCAGGCCATTCGTGTATTCCCGATCGCCTCGCATTCCGTTAGAAGTTGTTCAGGAGTTTCCTCCCCTTCCTCACAGAACCGGCAGCTGTTCTCGTTTTCAATTTTAATTCTCGCAAGGTGCCCTCTTAACCGGCAGTGGCCTGTGAGGAATCCGGTGAGAATGCGGAGATTGTTTTTGCTTAATGATGTGAGGCCTTTCGGTCTCCCCTGGTCAGGGTGCCCAAGAAACATCTTCGATTGCCTCAACCCTGGAAGTTGCTCCCAGAGATTGTTCCATTTGGTCCGCTCTTCCTTTCTGAAGGCTTCTTCATAGGTGTGTTTCCCTATGCCGCAGAAGGGTTCCGGTCCTGAAATCGGGGTCTGTGCCCCTAATTTCGCTAGGTGGTCCGCCTTCTCGTTGCCTTCAATACTTCGTGTCCCGATATCCACTGGAGGGATAGTCTGTTATCCTTGCCCAGTCTGTTTAACTTGTCCTGTCAATCCCAAACCATTCTGGAGCTGATTATTGGTGAGCTCAGCGCTTCAATGGCTGCTTGACTGTCAATCTCTCTCTTTCTGTAGTTTCTGTCAAGATTCCAATGTAGTGAATCTGATATAGCTATCTGCCTTCTCCATTGTCTTTAAAAGAAACGATGTGAGGCTTTATTGGTCTGAAGGATCTGGGGTCTGTCCCATCCTTCTTGCCTACCTTCGGAATGAAAGTGACTCTTGCCCTTCTCCATATTTGAGGTATATATCCCATTGCCATGCTGCTTCTGGTTATATCTACAAGGTGCGGCATGATCTCTGTTTTTCCTCTTTGTAGGAGTGCTGGAAAGATCTCGTCCGCTCCTGGCGATTTCAGAGGTTGGAATGTGTTTAATGCCCATTCGAGCCGCTTATTGGTGAGTACTACTTTCGCTATTTCCCAGTCCTCCCTTGTGGGACGTCTGGGGTATGAACTTTCCTCAGTTCTGTTTGTACGTTTGCTGCCTGGGAAGTGTTCGAATAAAAGAAGGAGCGCACGCTCTTCTTCACCTTCTGTGTAGGTACCATCTGGCTTCTTAAGAGCCATTGTCAAACACGCTCCCTCTTTGGCCATTGCCTTGTGTAGTCTAGCGGCTACTGGAGTCGAGGTGATGTTTTCACAGAAAGTCCTAAAGTTGTTTCTTTTTGCCTTTCTGATTTCTTTGTTGTATTCTGTGAAGGCCTTTGTGTACCGCCGCCACTCTCCGGTTCTCCTGGCTGTCTTGAATAAACACCGAGCCTGGATCCGGAGGCGTGCCAGCTTTGCATTCCACCATGGGGCCACACTCGAGCGTTTTTTCGAAACCATGTGGCAGCTAGAGTGAAAGGCCTCTATTACTGGCCTGGTTCACGAGCCCTACTTTCTCTTCCAGTTCTAGGTAATTTCCTATTCTTCCTGGATTGATTGCTTTGAGATTTTCCTCCAGATTGACTCTGTATAATTCCCAGTTTGTTCTCCTAGGATTTCACCTGAGTTTTGCTTTGGAGGTGCTTATTTCTAGGCTGAACTCCATGATCCTGTGATCAGACAGGCAGGGTTCAGCCGAGACCCTCCAGTTTTTCACGTAGTTCTTTATTTCAGAACTACCAAATGTAATATCTAATACTTCCTCTCTAGCCCTTATTACAAAAGTGGGTGTATTCCCTTTATTGTAAATATCAAAGTTCATTTCAAGTAAGTATTCAAAAAGGTACTCACCTCTGGTGTTGGTGTTTGAGCTTCCCCAGAAGTCGCGTCGCCTCCCACAAGGAGTGGGATGTTTTTCCCCCTACAGTGGTGCGCAAGCTCCTGCAGTTCCGCCGGGGGCGTGCGAGCCCCATCCCCAGCGAAGTATGCGGATGCTATGACAATGGTCCGTTGTCTGCCTTGGTGGTGGAAATTCACCATAATCGGCACTAGGTCCTTTGTCATGAATTCTGAAACACAAATATAATTAATATGTGTTTTAATTACTATGCAGGCTCTAGGCATTTCGTGCCTGTCGTCCCATATTACCTTTGAGCTTTTTGTTGTCAGTCCTTTTACCTGTCCCCTGTAAACCCATGGTTCTTGGATCAGCGCAAGATCCACACGCCCTTCCCCAAACAGCCTCGCAATCACAGCAGAGGATCCTCTAGCGTGATGTAGGTTGACTTGGGCTACCCTGGTGGCTGTGTTGTCCATCAGGTTAGTTACAAGGACTGAGGTGAGGTGTCGTTGCCCTCACCTTGACGATCTCTGTCTCGTCCCTCAGTAACTATTCCTTTTCTTCCGTGGGAAGCTCGTTCTCTGAGCCCTCAGCCCCGATGTTCTCTGGGTTGGGCTCGCTCACCATCGGCTCCGGTGCCTCTTTCCCTTTGGGGGAACTAGTATTCCCGGAGGTTGGGGTTGGCTCTTCCTGAGGGGATGGTGGATCTGTTTCCATCCTTCCCCCTGGCTGAGTTTGTTTTTCGCCTTTCTTCAGGCCATGCACGTACCGTGACGCGTCCAAACCTGTAGTGCATGGAGTGGTTTTGCGCCACGATCCCTTAGCTCGACTTGGTGTCTATGCCCAAGGTTAGCAGCTGACCATGCGATTGCTCCTTCGAGCTAATCGCCTTCCATGCCTCTGTCCTGAGGTCGGCATTTTGGGGTTTTAGGAGCTTGAGGAGTTTCTTAGCTTCTTGCCCTTTGCTCCTGGGAATGAAGACCGTTATGGTGTGTGCTTTCGGGATGTTTTCTCCCGTGCACACAATTAGATCCGGCCCCTTCCATTCTTTCAGCTGGGGTACCGTTTCCCTCAGCCAGATGACTGTTTGCTCATTTTCGCAGTCCACCATTATCAGTCCTGACCTGAAATGGATTCCTGCGAACTTCAGGATAACTACCGTGCTGGTGAACATTTCATCAACCAGAGCACTCTCTGGGTCTGTCAGCTGTTCCGTGGTTAGTGTGACCTCGGGGTATTCCCTCGGAACGATTCCCATTCGGACGCTTTTTACCGCCGCCGCCGCGTAGCTGCTGTTAGGCCCTGCTGCCGTTGCTGTTGCTTTAGAGGGGTATATTTTCCTCTTCTTGCTGCTTGGTCCTTGAAGGGGTGTGATGTTCTCACTTCCCCTCTTGACCTCTTTGCTGTCCTCCACCTTACACGAGGATGCAGAATCAGGAGTCAGTGTTTGTTGCTTCATCAGCCTCTCTTCTTTCTCCTTGTCTACCCTTTCCCTGGCTGCATCAGGTGTCATGCCTTGTGCCAGGTACCTGAGGTACTTCTTAGCGCCTGCCCCGCTCAGGCCCCTCCTTCTCGGGTCGTCCAGACCTCCTGGTTCTCCAAGTGCGGGGAGGTCTCCAGTAGAACTCCGTTGTTTTCCCGAACCACTGCCGCCCTCCCTCTGCGTTCTGTCTGAGGTGACTTCCCTCTTCTTACTTTCGGTTCTAGCCCGAGAACTTTCAGCAGTGTTTACCTGCCTATTTTTATTAATTTTCTTACCCATAAGATTCCCACGAGTAGCTAGGGAAATAACGGTCCGCTCCTATAGAGCTCCGCATATAGGAGTAAGGGGTTCTCCCCTGTGCCCCAAAGGGATCGTTCTCGATATTGCTCCCCCAATGCCACGCAGCCTTTAGCACGATGCCTTCCACTTTGGCTTGGGTTGAGCTCTCCTTAGTTTCGTTGCTTCCACAACGATTGAGCCCCCCCACCAACGACAAGGTCTCACAGCTCCCCGGGGGGTTCTTCATACATTTATTATTCTTCGACAATAGTATGTAATAGTGACAAAAGTAACACATTTCACCGAAGCGTTGTGCAACAAGTGACGAAAAATGTGCCTTTTCCTCTTTCTATGGCTACAAATTGGTGGTATAGTTATAGATGACTGCCAATCCTTCTCGTACTATTTATATGGGTCTACATATATTATTTCTCATCGCATCATTTTACTTTTTAAAATGAAATGTATGTAATGTTTGTTTCACCAGGGTTTGTACTTGCCACCAGCCTTTGCCTTCATTGTTTAACAAATAAAAATTGACTGAAACAAATCAATGACGTCAAAAACGTTCGTCGGTTCTTAAACCAAAAGTCATTCATTTTGATTTATCAAAAAATTTGAATGTTTTTATGAATTAATCTACGACAACCCTTTTTTTTCAAGTTTCAAGGTCAAGTATGAACCCTGGTGAAACAAACCTTACCTACCTATTTATCTAATCAAAAATGAATGAATGAATACACAGCAAACTTGGATCATGACTCTAAGACAAAAGGATCCGAAAAGGTGTCTGCACTGCAGATAGCTGTAATATTGATCCCACACATTGGATAAAGTTGAAAGTGTGGGTGAAGTGAGACAATTGGATTTTTTAAAATTTAACCAGTAATCAATATAGATACCACATAGAAAAAGTAGGTATTACATTTTATAGCCGCCATAGAAAAACTATCCCAATATCTTAGCTGAGAGTTGCTTCTTCCCGCATATCAGAAATCATGTCCTTATTGTTTATTTAAGTTTTTTAAAAGCAAACTATTTAAAGCCCTCCCGATGTGAGATTTTCAGTATTTTATAAAAATGTATTCTAAACTATTAAATGTTCAAGATCCACAGTTTTTATTTCAAGTTACGAAAATGGAATAGTGCAATATTTGGAAAAAATAATGAAGCTTTAACCCCTTGTATTTTGTATTAAAACTTGAATAGGTAGTCGGAAAAACCCCACAGCTTCAAAGTTGGCTGAAACACTATACTTAAAAAAGTTTTTTGTGTACCGATTAGTGTATTGATGATATAAACGTTGAATAAAATATCTATATTTATATACATTTAATAATATACTGTATACCACAGATCGTAGTACATTTTTTATTTCTAGATTTAAATACCCAAAATAAGGTATACATAGCAGCTTCCACCTTATTCCTGTTGCTCAAAACACTTTATAGTGGTCACACGTTTGATGTTACATCTCATTAACAATATTGTATTTAAATTATATTTTTTATTTTATTTTTCAATCTGTGACATGACATTGTACATTCATCTATTTTTTACAAAATACATAAGTTCAAATTAATCAATTTGAATTCTTTTTTGTTTTCCTATTGTTGTGGTTTTCAGGACTGCTTGTTACTCTTATGGCGGGTATTATAAAACTATTTTGACAGACCAACTAGAAGTTAACTTCTGGAGTGACATTACTTCTAATAGTAAATCCAGAAGTTAACTTTTAGTTATATGTCAAAATAGTTTTATAATACCCGCCCTTAGTCGTTCTTAAGGTACGTGCACATCGGAACAGGGAGTATAGCCGGGATGATCGATTAAAGTATACTAGAATGAATTTTTATTTTACCATTTTTTCTGCGAGTAGAAACCAGCTGAAAGGGGTGGCGCATGCCGAGTATTGCTCGGTCAACGTTTGCTTGTGTGCAAAAGTAGCACGTGAAGTTTTTTTTTTTTTAAAGATAAAAGTCAAAATGACATTATGTTGGCAATACAAAGTAAAATTGTCAATGCTTTCAAATTTTTATGTAGAAAAGGCTTGTGTTGCCAACATACCCACTAAACATGTAATGTTGCAAAATTTGTCGGCAATATTGTATCGACCTTGCTTTAGAAAATTTATTAGGTAATGTGACGTTAAGCTTTCTAAAATATTACTTATCCAATGTAAAGGAATATAAATTTGATATAACTTCAATAGAGAAACATTCGTTTTAGTTATTAATTAAATGTTGCAGTGGATACAATAATGTATTACATTTGAAACATTATAAATCGTAAGTAAAGCAAATATTATAACAATGTTATAAAATTTAACTTTTCTCAACTCTGTCGCTTTAATGTTGCGGAAATATTCACGTTTGTAACATTGAAAAAATATAACAAAATAAATGTTTGCATAAATATTATAAGCTCAACTTTCCTTGTAACTGTCGCTGTAATGTTGCAGATACATGCGTACGTTAACAGTTTTAAGAATAAAAAACGTTACCTAAATATTTCAATATAAACTTTGAAATAGGAAACATAAATTTTCTCAATGTTGCATAAAGCTTGCAGATAGATTTTATTTGCAATATGCTGTCTTTGTCTCTGTCATGCAAAAATATATTTGACTGACAAAGACGGGACAATTATTTGGGAATTCAGAACGGCGCAGACGCACCACCCATTTGTTGTTGTCTGTTGAGCTGTTGACGCCACGCCACCAAAAGCCAGGACGCTAGGACGAAGGAAGCAGAAGACGCTTCTTTTTTCTTGGCTTGATAAAAATAAAACAAGTGAATTGAACAGGACGAAAGGGTTCATCAAGATCATGAGATATTGGGAGAGGAAGAGAATAAAGCTAATGTAAGATTTTAACATTTTAATTTTTTGTGATATTTTAATAATGTTTAATTTTTAATTTTAGGTGGATTTTTTACAATACCTATGTTGAAGGAATCGAGGCATGTGTAATAAGATCAATTGGAAATTGAAAGTTTATTAACTAACCATTATGCTCCGGTCTGTATAGTTGGACTTGCAGAAAAGGGAATTTAAAAATAAAGGATCTTGCATTAATGCAAATCCTCACGATATAATAAATATCTATCATACATACAATATTTCATTATGTAAATTTCTGTAAAGTACCAATAAAAATATTGCAACTGTAATATTTATCTAAGTTTATAAACAACGTTAAATGCAGGTTTCTGTAATCTTGCATTTTAAATGTTACAAACGTAATTTATTTTTTATGAAAATACAAGATTGAGGCTATATTGCAGAAAAGTTTATTTTGTCAACATTGCATTTGTGAATATTAGAATAAGTCCGTTTCAGTATAATTGCAGCAACCTTGAACTTATATAGCAGCAATAAAAAATGAAATATTACAATATTACCTAGAAACATTACTAAAATATTAAAGCAATATTACATTGCTTAGTGGGTAGTTACTAAATTTTTGACTTGGGGAATTATCTTAAAAAAAAAAACAGACTTTATTGGTAATTTATGGCAAATTTGTCATCGACTATCCACTTTGTCTTTAATTCTACTTGGTATTGGAAAGTAGATCGTTTTATTCTTAAATATTGATAAAATCGCTCTGGTAATCTCTTTAACTCCTGATATAAGGGTGATAATCTCCCATTATCTTAACTGTTTTTGATTAATTTGGTGAATATGGTATTCTCTTGAGAGTAAAATCCGCAGATCGCAGATCATACCATTTTGTAGCGGATGAACATAAATAATCGTCATCTTTGTCCGACATCGGGATCAGAAATGGGAATTGAAATAGGCTCGTTCAGTGAAATTTTTTTAACACCGTTTTTCATATTTTTATGGAGTATAACTCACATATAGCACGTAGAAAAAATTTCAGCTCAATCGGATAAATATTAAGAAAGTTACGCGTTTTTTAATATTAAAACAGTTATGCCTCGGAAATTCATTGCTCTGACGTCATAGCATCAGTTGAGTCGAAACAGGCTAAAGGCCGTCACACTCGGTTTTGCATAACGCAATGTAAACTAATTTTCTACTGACAGGTTGGCACACAGCGGAACTATACAATATTTCTAATTTTTCTTTTTGCATGCTACTTCCATAATTGCCCTCATGAAATATTGAAACTCAGGGAATTATTCAAATATACGAAATGTGATTCGAAAGAAAAATATGCAGTTCTACCAGATATATAAAATGCTAAACTGAAACTTGTTGAAACGGTGCCAAACTAAAACTTGTCAAAACAATGCCCGTATTTGTCAAAGTGACTGGCGTACCAGCACCAGACAACCAATCTGAAAGATGCAGTGACGTCACCACGTGTTTCAAATTTGGAGTATTTTGATAATTTATTTGAATATGAACAAGGGCTCAGAAAATTATGAAATTTTGCATAACTGCTAAGCTCAACACGCTCTTTTAGAATGTCTAATAAAAAAAATATGCTGTACGAGCCTATTGTTTAGGCTATAAATCTTAGCTATAAATCCACGTTAGTATCATAGCTGGCGTTGTGCACACCTATAAGCGGTTATAAAGTGTGTTTTTTTTTTTTAAATAAAAGTCAAAGTGACATTATGTTGGCAATACAATGGAAAATTGTCAATGCTTTCAAATTTTTTATGTAGAAAAGGCTTGTGTTGCCAACATTGTTACTAAATTTTTGACTTGGGGAATTATCTTTAAAAAAAAACAGACTTTAGTTTCAGCTACGATCTGTCATCGAGGCAGAGAGTTTCTATCACGGATCCGTTGTGCACGTATCCTTAGTCTCGAGCAGCAGCTAATTTATAATTATTATTGTCGGACATCTTTCAGCATTCTATGACAGGAGGGAGATATTCGATTAAAATAGTTATTTGCAAATAACTTGAAAACGAATGCAGATATCGGATTGCGGTTTGCGCGAAAATGTAGATAATTTTTTGCTCTTTAAGCAGAGTTATAAAAAAATATATCATGCCATTTGGATTTTTCCAGAAAATTAGAAAAAACTGGATCTTGGTTAAACAGCGCCCTCTAGAAGACGCGGTTGGAACTATCGTCCCCGAACGAAGTGGTGCTCTTAATAACAATGAAATTCTCTTTCGAATAAGCCCAAATTGAATGAGTTTGGATAAGGGGTATGGAAGATACAGCAATTTTTAAAACTATTTTTTCCCCAGCTTCCCCCACCCTTATTAGTGAAGATACGAAAAAAGGCTAATAAGCAAACTGGCGCAAAAATTAACGAACTTTTGATTTCTGTTGTTAAAACAGTACCTTGATATAGCGATTTTTCGAGAAAATTTGAATTTTTAGTTATATCATCGTGATTGCGCCCCCTAGCGGCCATCTTAGAAACTTGAAAATAATTTCCATCAATTTCTCTTGGCCGATTTAGTGATGAAGAAAAAAATCCCGATGCCGTAAGGCCTATGGTTTCCATAATAACGTACCTCGTCGACCTTAGTGGGACACCCTGTATATGTCGCAGGCTTGATGTAAAATCAGTCTTATTATAATACGCCTGCCGCTCGCTAGTCTAATTGTTAAAATGAACCTGCAAGCGATTATTTTCCAATCCGACTAGATAAAATTCGTCGTATTATAATACGACGTCTTGTTGACAAAGCATATAGGTACATTATAAACAAAATCATCAATAATCAAAATTAACATTTAAAAATAAAAATCAGGACTAACAAACAAAATGGCGAATAGAACTGTAAAACTTAAACATAATGTGTAAATTATAAAATACTTACTGAACAGAACAAAAATACATGACTATAGGTTTTAACAAGATAGGTATAAACAATTAAATAAAATACAAAAAACAAAATATGCAGATTGCTACATGTCAATTAAAATCATTATAAAATTCGTCCACACTATAATAGGCCTTACCAACTAAAATCTGCCGAACTCCTCTTTTAAATCGTTTCATTGTAGGAAGCATCTTCACCTCATTGGGTAAGTAATTGTACAGTTTGATACTTTCATACATAACCGATTTTTTGGTTAAAGTCGATGTAGGAATGGGCAATGGTAAATTGAGGTACTGACGCGTATTGTAGTGTGAATTGCGGGGTGAAAATATCTGACGGTTTTTGTAGACAATACACACGGTTTCTAAAATAAACAGACTGTAGAGAGTCAGGATTCGTTGGTTCAAGAATAGAGGTTTGCACGCATCCCTCGGCCTTGCATGACATATATATCTTACTGCTCGCTTTTGTAAAACAAATAATGTATTTAGCAGATGTAAGTTTGACATACCCCAGAAGCATATGCCATATCTAAGACGTGACTCAATAAGATGGTTCGTCCCATTGAGGCCTGAGGGGCCCAGTTCATTAACGGTAACTCTAACTGCATAGCACCCTGATGCTATTTTTCTGCCCAGACTGACAATATGTGACTCAAACCTTTAGTTCCCTGTCAATAACAAGTCCAAGAAACTTGGTATCAGGGCGACTTCCAACAATAGTATTCCCAATAACCAAGTCCTCCAAGTCACACTTAAAGCTAACAATATTTGTTTTGTGAAAGTTCAGAACCAAAAGGTTGGAATCACACCAAACTTTAATTTTCTCAAGTTCACCAGAAATAGACCTCTTTAAAGAGGCTGAATCGCGACCGTGCCATAAGACAGTTGTGTCATCTACGAAAAGGGTAAATCTGCCATCAATTTCCAGGCTTGCTAGATCGTTGATGAATAACAGGAATAGAAGAGGACCCAAAACAAAACCCTGAGTTACCCCCCAGTCAATACCCTGACTCATCGAAGATCTAGACCCCATTAAAACTCTCTGTTTGCGACCAGTCAAATAGGACTCCAACCACGAGATAGCTACACCTCTAAACCCATAGTGATAGAGCTTACGCAGCAGAATTTCGTGACTGACACAGTCAAAAGCAAAAGCCTTAGACAAGTCAGAAAACACTGCCGCGGCCACCCCAGCCCCGTTGAGCCGAGAATACAACTCCTCCAGCACCCTAAACATTGCATCCTCAGTGCTCCGTTTTTCCTGAAAGCCAAACTGCTCACTACTTAAAATATTATTTTCAGCTATAAATGATGTCACTCTGGTTTTCACTAATTTCTCAATAATTTTTGATAGGGTTGACAACAAAGCAATAGGGCGATAATTTGAGGGTTCCTCGTCACCTCCTTTATGAAGAGGAATCACTTTAGCGGATTTCAAACAAGACGAAAAAGTTCCGGACTCCCAAGAAGCATTAATTGCCCACGCTAGAATTTCCAGCACATTATTTGGCAGCAGGTGAGAAAATATTTTGACAGAAAGCCCGTCCTCTCCTGCCGAGTTTTTATTCTTAATGCAGGAAATCGCTTCTCTCTGTTCAAAATGGTTAGTGGGCAGAAAAAAGAAAGAATTTTGCACTGATGCCTACGTAAGATAATCAAGGGAATCCCTAGATAATGGAACAAATATCCTCCGTGAGTTTTTTGGCTATCGTGTAATAAAAATTATTAATTGCGTCTGGGAATAATTCAGATTGACAGACAGTTTGGCAAAATTTATTACTTTGGCGAATGTCATTTACTACCAACCAGCTTTCCTTTTGCTTATTTGGCGCTCTGCGCATACGATCAGAATAATAGGCATTTTTTGCTTTCTTCAATAGTTTTCTGTAAAGTGCTCGATATCTATTGAAGTAACTATGAAAATTCTGGTTTTCAGTATACTTCCTTATCATATGCAAAGAGCGCAGGTTTGCTGACGATGTTTTTAGGGAAAGAAAGGGAAAAGATCTATTAAATACACTTAACAATATTTCATAATAGGTTTGAATAGGATCCTGAGAGCTAAGAACAGTATCCCAAGAAGCAATAGCACTCAATTGGTAAACCTATCATAATTATTTCTGCTAGTAAAAACCCTACCATACCTATATCTAAGTGCAGACTGCACTGTACACTTTAAAAAATCACATATTACTGCATTATAATCTGATAAACCAGCCTCAACGACAGAACAATCAACACCATTATAATCAAAATTAGAACAAACATAATCAATCAATGTAGAAGAGTACTGCGTGACTCGTGTTGCAGATTTTACATGCATCTGCAAATTATGGGATTGCAACAGATTATGTAATCTTATAGTAGACACACTTTTTACATCCAAAAAATGTATGCAATGAATCCAAACCATGAAAAAAATCATTTACGTCGGATAATGGTGACCTATATATGCAAACTATATACAAATTTTGGCATTTAGAGTAGACTATTGAAAATTCGAAACATAGGGCATTGAAATTATCTATGGACTGTAGTGAGTCTATTTTTAGAAGTTCTTTATGTGCCAAAATTAAAGAACCACCATGAATTGATGTGGTCCTATGGAAAACTGAAACAACTGCATAATTTTAAATATAAACCAATTCATGTTCCTTTAACCAATGTTCAGTGACTAAAACTAGTTGAGGGTATCCAAACTTTTCCAAAAGTATATCCAACTCGTCAATCTTATGTCTCAACGACTGAATGTTGAGTAAAAATAGAGAAATATGGGTCTTATTATTTGACGTTACGGATCTATTGCTACAGGTGGCAGCTCTAAAAAATTTAAATTTGAATGGTCTAGCTTTTCCGGACAATTGTCAGTATTGTCAATATTTACTGGTTGAGGAATTTCCACTGCAGCAACCGATTCAGCGGAGGTATTCAAAGGGATATCTATATTGGCATTATGATTGAATAACTGAACACTTTCATTGTTATCGCAAAATTTCACAAAAGTTAAGTTTTTGTTAGGGCACCTTGAAACTAAAATACTTGAAACGCGCTTGCACAGTTCCTTCCTTCTTAATAAGGTACCCCTAAAATTTAAATCTAGAAGACAGAATTTACCCTCCACAAATTGGTTCAGTCTATTCATATACAGACACAACTTATAATTAAACCTAAAAATAGCTCTATTCACAGTGAAATCACAATTATTCTTATAAGGTACAGATAAAACTATAAGGTTAGTATGACCCAATTTTTTAAATATGCTATTTATTGACTTAAATGACGAATATTTTTTATTCTTTAGGTCATTATAACCAGCTAAAACCAGTACAAAGTCTTCAAGAGTGAAATATTTTGATAAATTAGCCATATCTTCAATAACATCCGCAAACATTGCATTGGGCTTTATAATTGATTGGACAGTCAGTTCTTCATTAGAGCTTTGAATTAATGAACCCAAACCATAGCCATTTTGATCGCCCAAAATTAATAATAAAATCTCATATTATTATTGATACAATAATTGACCGGTTTTTCAATTGAATTGCTCATGCATTATTTTGGTGGTTGATGGATCATGGAAAAGTTCCCAAAGTAACAGGCAGCAAGCTCCTGAAGTAGGGAACTAGAGTTAAATGGTTCCTGTTTGGAAGATACTCAATCTGAATTTCCGGTGTAGGTGGAGTCTCCATGGACAATGCAAGACAGGCAGATTTTTTCAAGCTCTCAATCTCCTTTGATAAGAACTCATTATCAATTCCATTCAAGAGTTTCGATGGTAGTTTTCATTTCATTATTAATCTTTTTCAGTTCATTAAGTTCAGCTATGGAATGATGTAGCTCCTGCTCTAAAGATTTTGCTCTACCATGCAAGACCTTGCAAGTTTGACAACTGATGTTCTTTGCCCTTATACCTGTTCAATACGTTCCGTCTGGGTCTGCGCAACAGAGTAAGTAACCATAGCATCAGCAACTGGTTTACGATTGTCATTGACCTTTCTTTTAAGGCTATCAATTTCTTGTACGAGCTGGCTTTCAATAGATTCGAACTCAGTAACTAGAGCATTCTTCTCCATTTTCATCTTTTCTATGTGTTTATTTTGATCATCAATCTCAACATTGAGTTGTTCAATTGTTTGTCGGAGAATTGGCATAACAGGATCAACCTCATCTGCCAGATCGGAGCATTCTTTAGAGCAAATTATGAAATTATCTTTAACAATTTCAACTCCTCTGACTCCTCTAGAACGACAGCTTTTGTGAAAAATGTTCGTACACTTAATGCAAACCCAATTGTTTTGAGATTTTTTGCAACACTTAAAAGTTAGAGGCATTGTTAGTCAGTAATTTAAACTTTTAGTTCAAAATGGTTATACGATTTTCACAGGTATCATTAAAACAGATATTTGACGCCTGTTTCAAAAAACATTAGTATGTAATTAAATTACACGAAATATGTTCAGGGGTAAACCCAGTCATAATTTATTGGAGGAATTCCCACCGACCAACAAATAACAAAAAAGTCGATCCTTGCATATAAGTTAATAGTTATTTACCTAACAAATGCGGAAAGTGATACTTTACCGCACGCAACGGCAGTTGACCGAACGACGCGAAGCGGAGTTCGGTCAAGCAGTTAAGGGCGGTAAAGGCACTTTCCGCATGTGTTAGGTACAAAATTTTACCTATGAGCATCTACATCTCCAAAAAAGGGCATTGATAAAATTAATTATTGAATCAGATTAGTCAATGAAATTAGATTAGATTTAGAAAAGATCAAAAACCCATTTTCTGGAAAAAAAAAAGGATTTTTGATTATAAATATCAAATTCTACTTTACCGCACACTATGCGGTAAAGTGCACTTTACCGCACACTTTGTAATCCACTTTACCGCATACTATGCTGTAAAGTTAACTTTACCGCACACTATGCTGTAAAGTTAACTTTACCGCATAGTGTGCGGTAAAGTGCTACTTTCCATTTGCAAATACGTGCGGTAAAGTGCACTTTACCGCACGCTCGTAGGTAAACAAATAAACATTCCTTAAATTCCTTATTCGATTTGCATAAAAATATTGGTTTTAACAGTAAATGTTTTCTGGTAATTGACACGTTATTACCTAAGATTTTCAGGAGATAAAAACGCACTTATGCACTCCGAAGATTTCCCTATAAAAGGACACTAAGGCAGACAATTAAAAACCACGAAAACACATTTAAAACATCATTTCAATGAAGCGTTCTGAAAACCGACCGTATCGTTCATACACGGAAATACTATTACAAATGGAGTTTATGACATTGGTACCATACACGGCTTATGTTGAATCGATGGTTTTTAAGAGAAGAAATCACTGACTGTCAAAGTAAGGAAATAGATTGCATTCCACAAGGAAAATCAATTTCCGTAGGAGAAGCTCTAAGAAAGTTTTCAAAATTCGAAGGACAGGGATTTTAGAAGTGTTCTTCCCACATAACAAAATCATCTTTAGAATGTAATAAGAATGTTCTTTTTTTAGGAGGAATGTGCCTAGAATGTTCGCCAAAACCATTGCGAATGTCCTGAGAATGTTCTGAGAAAAGATTGTAGATACATTGTTTGCAATACCCTAGAACTTCCTGGAAAATCCATTAGGATATTCCTAGAATATACCTATGATATTCTCAGTACATCCTGAAAAGAATATCCCTGTTTGATTACATTTAAAAAATATTTCTATGACATTATAGGTATGTTCTCAAAAGAATATTATACGAATATGCTTGAAATATTCTTAGAATATATCTACATATATCATTCTCAATATACATCCTAGACATAACATTCTTGTTTGATTCTAGGAATATACTTGGAATGTTAGTTTTCGCTTCCAAATAATGCTCCTGTTAGTCCTTTTATATTAAAGGCAGTGAAAGAGTTGTTGGAGAACTTCTCTGGAAAACACAAGTGTTTAACCAAAGCTTCGGTTTCGAGCTTGTTATGCTCTCGTCGCGGTAAGCACGCCAACTGATAGAAACAGGTTCTAAGGTGATTCAAACGCTAGGCAAGATGTAGATCTTTCTTTTATAGCTACTACTGCTATGTGTTTGCTTGATATATCACCAGCGAACGAAAACACTGTTTTACTAATAACTCGGTTTAATTCTGGGCACTGAACATACAAATAAATCGAAATACTTTATTTTGTTAACAACAACACGATATCATGATTGCGCGGCAACAAGCTGACTAGAAGTAAACAACAACCTGGGACAGCTGTCTTCTGTCACGTCACGTCAGGCCGCCAGGGTTGTACACAATAGTTGAGCCATCCAGGGTTGAACACAACGGACTCGCGGAACAATGACGCCACATCTACTCCCCTCCCAGTGACGAAGCCACTTGTGGGAGGAACGAAACCTTCTTTTTTGAGTAAGTGCGAAGAGGGCGGTCCATGGTGAAGGATGACGCTGGGTGATTCTCCAGGGTGGATGAAACAGTATCGGGTTTAAGGGTGTAGGCTGGCTTCAGGGCGTCCACAGAGACAGTCTTCTCAACGCCATTGATTCGAATGCTGTACACTCGGTCATTTATTCTCTTGACGACTTCATGAGGGCCAGTGTAGGGCGGTTCGAGCGGGCGACGAACAGAGTCCACTCGGCGGAAGACATGACTGCAAGTTGCGAGGTCCTTGAGGATGAAGCAGCGAGATTTGATATGGTGAGCCGTAGGTGTTGTTGACATTGCTGTCGCTTACCACCTGAACAGGCGACAGCATATTTAGTTTTCCTGGCGCGGAGATGCTAGTGGCAGCTGAGACACATTTTTGGGCCCGGGCACCGAATTTTCGATGATATCGGCATTCTCCAGAAGTGAGGTCCTTCTGAGCAATGGTTAGTTCTGTGATGGCTTGTCTGAGTTCGTTCAGCTCGGAGGCTACTGAAGAACCATGTCCATGCTGGCGAGAGCTCTGGTTGACGGCCATGACACTGCCACCAGGGATGTTTGTCATGAGCTCATCAGCTGCAGCAGCTAGTTCGTTAAGTGAATTGGCCTTGAAAATTTTCAGCAAGTGCTGAATGCTGACAGGCAGAAGGGCCAGCCATCGTATGCGGAGCACGTCTTCTGTAGCACGATTGCCGGCAAGGGCTCGCATTTCACGAAGCAACTGTGAGGGTTTTCGGTCACCTAGTTCTAGATCAGTGAGCAGTTTGTGCATCTGAGAGTCTTCGGAGGCTGTTAGTCTACTTATTAGGTTAGACTTGAGATTTTGGTACTTATCTTGAGGTGGTGGAGCCTTCAAGATGTCTGCAACTTCCGTGATTGTGTCCGGGTCCAGTGATTTTACCAATTGATAGTACTTGGTGCTATCGGACTGTATACGGTGGGCTTGAAAGACTGATTCAATCTGCAGGAACCATAGGTCTGGATGAGAACGCCAAAAGGGTGGCAGATTGCAGTTGTAAACTGCGTCAATGGCATAACTCTGCTGCTGGTTGAGCATCATGGGGGCTGGCAACGAATTTACTACTGGTTGGGCATATGCTTGCTGATAGCTCACCGGGTGATTTGTTGGATTAAAATGCACCGCGGGATCAAATGCTGTACTGCCGTGAGGGCCAGAAGGTTGAGGCATAGGAATACTCACTGACGAACTCCTGTCTGGTTGCTGGTTGGTAAAAGAGCTGTTTGCAGCCAATTGCTGATCAGGATCTACTGAGGAGTCGAAATTGCTTTGCATCTTGATTTTTTTAGTAGTCAGACACGTCTTTTAGGTTAGAGGCCGAGTGGTACGCGGAGATATATCACGTCGGGGTCACCAATTATAGCTACTACTGCTATGTGTTTGCTTGATATATCACCAGCGAACGAAAACACTGTTTTACTAATAACTCGGTTTAATTCTGGGCACTGAACATACAAATAAATCGAAATACTTTATTTTGTTAACAACAACACGATATCATGATTGCGCGGCAACAAGCTGACTAGAAGTAAACAACAACCTGGGACAGCTGTCTTCTGTCACGTCACGTCAGGCCGCCAGGGTTGTACACAATAGTTGAGCCATCCAGGGTTGAACACAACGGACTCGCGGAACAATGACGCCACACTTTAATACAGTGGCTATAAATAAACCTTTACATACAGTGGCGACAATAGAGGTCCCGCCGCCATCTTGTTCCCAACCTCTTGTTACTTTTAAATATTAATATATAGGATTTAAATGAACATCTATCATAAAAAATTGAAATTGGATGTATTTGATGACCATTATCAGGTCCATCAAAAACGTGTTTTCCATGATTTATGATAGATGTTCACCTAAATCCCATATATTCACACTTAAAAGTAACAAGAGGTTGGGAACAAGATGGCGGCGTTTTCAATATAAATATATGGGATTTTAGAACCAATCAAAAATGAGACAGCAATTGTCGCCACTGTGGGTAATAGAGTCACTGTACACTTTAATAGTGCGTGGCCCCCTCTCTTGGAAGTCCTACAAAGCAAAAGAAAAAGAATATACTTATAATATTCTAAGTAGATTCTAGATAGTGCATTATTGTTTAATTGTTCAATTAAGATTTTTGAGTAGATACTTTAGATAATTAGGTGAACAATATGAAAATATTCTTATCATGGTTACCTACCTACATAAACTTCTCAGCACAACTTGGTAGGTATATTCTTAATACTTGATAGAGATATTAGCCGAAAGAACATTTTTTATTTTTTTAGGGTACCTACCTATCTATTATCTTTCATTGCTTTATTATATCTTTGATTGCTTTGGCTTCGTCTCTATTTTAGACAAAAGATCAACACTATAGTGTTGATCTTTTGTCTAAAATAGGTATACCTGTTAAGGTACCAATATCAATGAGAAAAAAATATGGCCGAGCTCTGGTTGTAGTGATCCCAAAGTCGGCCTGTAATAAAATCGTTTTAGTTAAAGTCGGCCGACTATCGGATTTTGGTGAAAATATTGTATATGTTTAGATTTTAATAAATTACCAAAAGTAGTCTTTAATAAAATAGCTAATATGGTCTAAATTCGCAAAATCAAAAATAATCCTATACAGGGTGTCCCACGGTGGATGGCGTATTAGACGTTTATGGAGAACTAAAAAGCGGATCATTTTGAAAATTTGGCAACTAGGATAAACGACTATGATCTACAGTTTAAAAATATTTTTGATCATGCGGTGTTACCGCTTCTACTCTAAACTAGTGGCAACGTCGCTATTTTAAATGGAACACCCTGTATGTGATTGCATATTTGGATTCTACATAAAATTCTGAGCAGATTTCATGTGATATACCCTATACCTAAGTTCAACTGTTTTGG